GTGCCAGCTGGTGGCCCAGCCAGTGGTCGGCCTGCGCCGTCTTTGCCGCTTGCCAGCTACGCTTTGGCCGGCGCAGGGGGCGGCACCATGCATGCGCGGCGCTCCTGGGCAGGGAAAGTCCTCGACTTATGACCAGTTGGGTAGTCCTTGACTTATGACCGGTTGGATAGTCCTCGACTTACAACTGGTTGGGGGTCGCGGCATTAAAAAGGTTGAGAACCACTGTCCTAGGGAGCAGGGTACCCTGCTTCTAAAAAGAGAAAGTTACCAGTATGTTTCATTCTGTGTTGCTTAAGGCAGGGGTCCGCAACCCCCGTTCCGTGGACCGGTACTGGGCCGCGGCATGCCAGCAACCGGGCTGCACAAACAAGCAAAGCCCCATCCGCAGGATGCAGGCAGCACACAAAACCACACCCACTCTGGTCCGCAGAAAAACCTCTCTCCACAAAACTGGTCCCTGGTGCCCAAAAGGTTGGGGACCTCTGGCTTAAGGAGTCTCTTCTGATATAGCCAAGAGACAGAGACCTCTGTGAATGAACTATGAGTATGCAGAAGCCACTTCCAGTACTGAAGAAGTCTCAGAAATGACACAAGAGCATCAATAAAATTGTGACATCACAATGTCCGACAAAATGTATATTGTATATCAATATACAATGAATTTCACCTTCGTTTCTTTATATAGGCATATTAAAAGTAGTGGTGCTTTGAGGAAGGGAAATAAAAAGTGTGGTCTGGATCTGCTTACTCACCTGCTTTCTTTCTCTTATTAAAAGTACCTGATTAGGTTAACAAAGACATACCCCCTTTTAAGCATCAATGCAAACTTTGATTGTTTGGGGATTTGTTTAGCCTTGATGATGTGTGCTACTGAGTTTTCCCTGAAGTTCATGCTTCTGTGTTTTTTGCAACTGATGATATTTCTAGCTTATGGAATCCATAGAACAAGCAGCTGATATTGGAACAGTCATAGCAACAAGGTATGACGTGTGCTACATCAAAAAGGATTTTTTTGAGTCCAAAATTCATTCCTCCTGACAAGCTCACTGATTGACAACCAGATGAGCAGACCACAAGGACAAAGAGCTGATTCATATAAATTATTGTCTTGGAACATTTTCCTCCCCGTTTAGTTGCTTATTGTAGTTTTTCCATGGCTGGCTGTGATGAAAAGCTCTAGACTTCCTGTTTAGAAGGTAGCTGGAGAAGGAGCCATTGTGGTGGCAGTTTTTCTCCTGTGAAAGCAACATGTAGCCTAAAAGCTTAAGTTTCTTCAAAGGCATTGGACTTATGCCATGGGTCAGGAGTTCTCAAACTGTGGGTCATGTTCCCCCAAGGGGTTGAGTTTGCTATTTATTTTTGAAAGTCTCTGTGTTCTGTAAATGAGAAAATGATATAATACATTGTTATGTAGTCTAGATTTAATGATAATATCAAAGATTGACTTAATTTCAATAGTTATGTCTAGTTACCAAATGTGTCCTTTTCCCCAGCTTTTAATTTAAAAACTATAGTGTATGCAATCTTTTTTTGCTCCCCCTATTATTTATTTTTGAGGACACACACACGCACCAGTCTACAAATCCTGCTATGCTGCTGCCTCATGGGAGGGCAGAGACTTCCTACGAGAAAGAGCGAGGCATGCTGCGAGTATGCCAAGAGTATATAGTTCTATTAGGGCTGCCCAAGATGTGAACATTATCCCAATATTGGGCAATAGTAATATAGGAAGATGTTACACGTGAAGGATCACTTTAGTGCAGGGATGTCAAACTTGCAATGTCACATGATGTGTTTGCGACCTATCACGACTTTTTTCCCATTGCCGGCAATGGGGTGGGTGTGGTTTCAGCATGATGCATCTGGCCCACGGGCCGGCAGTTTGACACCCCTGCTGTGGTGATAGCAACAATTTGCATAATTTCATACTGTATTGCATAGGGAGAAGGCAATGGTAAATCACTCCAGTATATTACCAAGGGAAATTGTGGAGATTCTCAGTCGTCCAGGTCATAGTTGTCTCAAAAGTGCTTTTTTCTTGAGGAGGAAAAAGAAGAAAATGTTTTGCTTCTCATCCAAGAAGCTTCATCAGTTATAGAAGGTAGGTACTGACAGTTGAGACTGGATGGTGGGGGGATGGAAGGATAGGTTCTGATAGGTTAGGTTCACCCTCCTATCAGAACCTATCCTTCCATCCCCTCCACTATCCAGTCTCAACTGCCAGTACCTATCCTTCCATCCCCTCCGCCATCAGAGTGGATAAAGCTGATTGGATGAGAAACAAAACATTTTCTTTTTATTCTTCAAGGAAAGAAAACAACCCAGTTGCTTTTGAAGAAAAAAAGCACCTTTGAGTGGTGGACAGGCAAGATAAAGCGATTGGATAATATTGTGCCGGATGATGTGGCCCTCAGATTGGAGACCCCTCAATATGTTACTGGGGAGGAGCTGAGGATCCTCAGAGTGCTAATTTATGATGCAGCTGAATTAAACCCTTCTGGGAGCCTGGTTACTAATCTGACCATGCAGGGAAATAAACCCAAAGCTGCAAAGAAAATTACAGTAGCAACATGAATGTAAGAAGCGTAAACAAGGAAAAGCCCAACAAAGTAAAAACATTGAATGAATCAATTATTGTTTAAGACTGTGGAAAGCAGCAAACAGAAATGGATTGGAACTGTATACCTCCAGTCAGAAGATCATATTGTTTACCATTCAAGATCATGAAAACCAAAGGAAGATCGGTGTTGCTTTCATAGTAAAAAGTAGTACAACAAACATTGTGCATGGAAACAATGCAGTCAGTGACCAAGTAATATCAGTTAGATTTCACAGATAGCCCCTTCATTTGATGGATATTCAAGCTTATGCCTTTGATGGAAAAAAAGGTGAAGATGACAAGTTCTGTGGTCAGATTCAGTATGAAATTGTAAATCATGAAACAAGATGTCCTGCAAAATTTAGAAATATAGATGGGCTATATAGCTTAGGAAATTGAAATTAAGTAGCAGAACAATTTATCTGTTTTCTGCCAATCTCATTGATTTTGTCTTTGCTTATGGAATTTTTCAAACAAGCACATCAGTGCCTTTATGCGGGGACATTACTAAATGGAGAACACAAAAATCAAATTGACTATATTATTGGTACAAGAGGGTGGAAGAACTCAGTTATAACAACAAAGCAACTGACTGTGGAACAGATTGGAAACTTCAGATGCAAGTTCCAAGTCAAACTAAAGCATCAGAAGAAAGTCAAGTAGTGTCTCATAATATGATGTTGAGGCACTGCCCACTTTTTTAAAGGAAGGCATCCAGAATCATTTTGAAGCCCTGAACTTAGTAGGAACCAGAGATACTGTGGAATCAAATCAAAGAAGGTGTTAAAGAGACTCTAAAGATCAAGAAACTAGAAGAAAACAAACTGGGTATCAAAATGAACGAGGGAAATTGCCGAGAAGAGAAGAGAAACCAAAGCCGAAAAAGACAAAAATCTTAGGAAGGAATTTAACAAAGAGTTCCAGAGAGTTGTTAGAAGAGGCAAGAAGCAATATTACATTGGCATCTATGAAGACAATGAAGGTTGAAACAGTCATGCAAAGCGAAAAAAATCTTAGAAAAGATCTGCAAACTCAGAAGGAAGTTCCAGCCGTGAACTGGTATGCTAAAGAGTGTCAGATAGTAACTGATTAATCAGATGAAAGGAATATGCTGATGTTCTGTACAATAGAGATATCACCATTCAAGATACCTTACCTGATATTCCTTATTTACAAGAACCTCTAGTATCAGAAAAGGAAATTAGACCAATGGGAGTCTGTGTGTGTGGTAATGATGGTGGAGAGGAGAGAATACATGGAATTGGGTGGGGGGGGGGGAGAATACTTTGCAAATAGTTAATATGATTCAGAAATGGAGCTCCTAGGTCCCATTTTTTCTGCTTTTAAAGAGATGTGCCCAATTGAATCATACTCAAAATGCAAGTTTTTCTAAATCCATGACTGTAACTGTAGCTAACAGAAGCTTTTAGAATTCATTTAAATGAAGTGTTTGAAAGAATCTGAATTTGGCTTTCAATATTTGCCCTGTTTCTGCCTTTTAAAGAATACTGCATAACTACATTTGTAATATTATATACATATGAACCTTACCCTTTTTATAAAGAAAAGTGATCTAGCTACTCTTATTAAAGTAAGAGTTGCATTTATTTTAGGATATCTATTATGTGCTTCCTCCCATAGCGAATTATGGGTTTACTTAATGACTGTGGTATTTGTTTAACTAATTCTGTGTTTGCTTTACAATTTCTGTGAAAAAGATTGTAAAATCAAGTCCAGTCACATGGTGATCCATTTTTACGACCGCCATGACTTACTACTATCATTGCCAGGCTCAATTATGGTTGTAATTTGAGAACTACCTGTATATAAGCCCTTCTTACTTTTGAAGGAACTTGGAATCCGGTTTTATTTTGCTTCCTGCAGTGCATTTTGACTGGCTTTTTTTTATTAGATTGGATTCACTAAAAATAGCTCTGGATGAAGGATCATATAGTTCTTTTATGAAAAAAAAATGTAGGTAAACTTGCTTCTGAGGAAAGAAGTCTGCCTCTTCCTTTCATTCTGTCCTTGATAGGGAATCCACTGACGATCAGAAGTCAAGGAAAAAGGCTGAGAATTCCTTTGCTATGGCTGAATGGGCAGAATTGAAGGCCTTTTGCAGGGTCTAAATGGGTATTTGAGGAGTTTGAAAGCATGCAAATGCAAGTAGATAAATAGGTACCACTCAGGGAAGGTAACAGCATTCCATGTTCCTTTGGCATATAGCCATGTTACCCACATGATCACGGAAAATGTATTTGGATAAGGCTGATTCCCTTGGCCAAGAAACAGACATGAACACTGTGCCCTAGAGTCAGACAGGAGTGGACAAGGAAATCTTTACTTTTTTATTACAATAGGAGCTCAATTTGTTTATGATCTCTTGTAAGTAAGTTGTTTGGAATGTAATGATCAGAAGCGCAGGCTTATAAACATTGTATAAACAAATTACATTATAGTGTCCTCTTTCCCACAGCCCCAAATTTGCTTTTAAATAGGGATGTCATAAAATGTAAACGTGGGCTGGTTGCTGAGCAATCAACATGTAGTCATGTGACTGTGGGGGGTGGACATCAGAACTTTGTAACCGGGTCATAATTCGACTGGGGGAGGTCTATTATATCACTGAAGGGTTGCTAAGTGACCAGTCAAGGGCTATCTGTATGGTTGGCAGTTAGACCCAATTTACAGAAGTCTGTGATTCAATCTTATGTCCTGTTTCACCAGAGCTGATATCCTGAATCACCAGGTAAAGGCTACTGCCTTAGCATAAATGTAGACAAAAAATAATATTAGCCTGAGGTAAGTTAGTTTCTTTTCCTTTTTTTAGACATCAGAATTGACTTTGGTACATATGATTCAGATCATGCGCAACAGATCATATGAATTGTATGCATATGATTCAGATCAAGAGGATTATATTTTGAAAAATACATTATCTTGTATGAGGAGAACAGAGGTCTCTCTTTCTTTTCCAGCAACTGTCTATCAGAGTTAGGTTTCTGTTTTTTAAAAAAAATTACAATGTGTATGTAAGATCAAGGGAGGGTATTTTGAATATATGGAAACATGCACAGTAGTTATTCTGCAGTTTATAATAGATTTTTCCAACTCTGTCATTTTGAAAAAGTAACCACCAAGTGGTTTAGTGTCGGATTACACTCAACTCTGGTATTTTTTAAATGTACAGCTTTTATTAAAACCTTTTAACCAAACGTTAAAAGCTAACACAAACTATTAGAAAGTAAGGGAGACAAATAAAGAAAAAAAATGGCAAGAAAGGGAAAAATGTTAAAAATGGAAAAGAAGAAAAAGTATAAAGAAGTGCTTCCAATATTCTTCACAGCATTTATAAATACAAATATATTTTAATCTCTCTTTAAAGTTATATCATATTACTCTCTTTTCTACAATCAATCTCGTGGGGCTATAAAACCCACAACTCTCGAGTCAATTCTGTCATATTTTGTAGGAAACAAAGTGATTTTCTTTCACGTGTTCTTGGCTTTCAGGCAGAACTGCACGTGTTTAAAGAATGGGTAATCTTTCGGGATTTTGAAAACGAAGTGAGAACCATCCATTGGCAACACGGCTTTAAAAAGAATTGTTATACAATACTGCTGCTTAATAATGAAAACATGATTCCTGATTATTAGGCAATAACTGTTAAATATTTAATACCTAAATATATCCAAGAAAATGTTCCTGGTCGTTTTTAATGTTCAAATATTCATTTTACCAGGCACAAATATGCATGATTATTTGTACTCCATTGGTGCTGCTGTTTAGTTTAGTTTTCAACTTATTGTCTGTATCCCCTCCCAGAGCCCCAGAACCTCCAGGATAAGGCACACAAATACCGAAGATGTCCCTAACGCACATATATTTTTACCATTCTCTGGTGCCTGGTTATAAGTTGTGTTTTAATGATACGGGTTTAAGACACATTTTTGTTGTGTTTTGCTTGCATGTAAATGAAGGATCGCAAAGAATAGGTTTGGCATTCTTCCTTTCCGACACTGCAGATTGCAGTAGTACCTGACTTAAATGCTTGTTTTTCATTCTCTGATTGATTGATTTATATCGCACCTTAATTACTTTATAAGTAACTTCAGGCAGCGAACATACCTAATACTACTCCTATTTTCCTCACAATAACAACACTGTGAGGTAAGTTGGGCTGAGAGAGAGTGCAGGTCTAAGGTCACCCAGCTTGCTTTCATGGCTAATGTTACTTAATCTTTTCCATACATTTTCTCCTGATCCCTATAGATACTGAGAAGGTGGTAATCTGCACATATTCAGTCTTCTACAGCAGAGGTCCCCAACCTTTTGGGCACCAGGGATCAGTTACGTGGAGAGAGGTTTTTCAGTGGACTGGTGTGGTTTTGTGTGCTGCCTGCATTCCACGGATGGGGCTTGCTTGTTTGTGTAGACCGGTTGCTGGCATGTCACAGCCTGGTACCGGTCTATGGACGGGGGTTGGGGACCCCTGTTCTACAGGGTAACCCAAATGCTAAGTATTCACCAAAGGAACATTCCCCTCCTTTTATTTGACGGGGCTGGGTGTGAAAACAGTAACATATGTACAGGTAGTCTTTGACTTATGATCACAATTACGCCCCAATTTCCTGTTGCTAAGTGAGACAGCTTAAGTGAGTTTTGCCCTATTTTACAACCTTTCTTGCCACACTTAAGTGAATCATTGCAGTTGTTAAGTTAGTATGGTTGTTAAGTGAGTCTGGCTTCCCCAAATGATTTTGCTTGTCTGAAAGTCGCAAAAGGTGATCACATGACCCAGGGACACTGAAACCATCATACATATGAGTCAGCTGCCAATTTTATGAATTTTGAACACGTGACCCTGGGGATGCTGCAATGGTTGTAAGTGGGGAAGTTGGTCACTAATGAATGGTTTTAAATTGAGGACTAATTAATTAAACCTTGAAAGATTTGATGTATTGTCCTTCATACCTTTTACGAATATGGAAAATATGGAAAAGGTCTTGTACTCTTCCATTTTTGGGGGGAGGAATGGAGCAGAATTAAAAAATGAGGAACTTAGTTTTTTTCTCTTATGCTTTTTTCCATAGCCCCTTTTCCTTCTTCCTTAATTTATTCCTCATGGTTGGAGGCTTCTTGGTAGTGGTTTGAGCTATGATAGGGCAGAAGTTTCATTTCAAAATGAAGCACTATTTTTTTTTCTGCAAATGAAAATTTTAAAAACATCTCTTTGTTATTAAATAGAGGTGACCTGGGGATAATATAAGATAATATATTATTTGTTTTTATGTTCTATAGTAAATCTTATTTAAGAGACTAAAAATTATCTAAAATCTTAACAGAAATGGCTCTTTGGAAAATGAAGATGCTATCTTGTACAAGCAAAATCAAATGCAATGCTTTAAAAGTGTCAAAAGTAAGGCGTTTTTTTTGAATCATAGTGAAACATGTGGTTGTAATTTTTAAAGTACTTTCAAGATGAAAGTAGAACATAGGTTAATATTTCCATCTTCATACCTACAATTTGCATCATCTCTAGAAAGAAAGCTATCCATTTGTCAGCTATATATTGAAAGCCCATGAATTAAATGTCATGCCGCATAAGAGTTTTAAATTTGCTTGATTTTATTTTACTTATTATCACCTCCTATGAAGTGTAACATTGGGTTTTCCCTTTTCAGAAGAACAGAGATGTATAGCCTGAATACCTGCTTTGCACTATGGCAGATGCTTTGGAAGGGTTACCTTCTTGACATTTTAAATTTACAATTCAATTTCAGCAACCTTTACATATTCTGCAAATATTTAATATGTTTAACTGGTTGCCATATCTACCTGTTACCATTTTTTCCTCTGTATAAACATTTTAGTTAGTTCTGAGTGTTGAATGGATTCTGATTTTCATTCATGCAACTCTGTTCTGTGGGCTCTGGTCACAAATCTCTGTAGGTAGCACAGCACTATGAAAACTGAAGGTTCTAGGAAGCAGCGTTCCTAAAGACCATTCTTTTTGACCGTAAACAGATAGTCCTCAAGTTACAACCACAATTGAGCCCAAATTTTCTGTTGCTAAGTGAGACATGTATTAAGTGAGTTTTGCTCCATTTTACAACTTTTCTTGTCACAATTGTTAAGTGAATCACTGCAGTTATTAAGTTAGTAACCTGGTTGTTAAGTGAATCTGGTTTCCCCCATTGGCTTTGCTTGTCAGAAGATTGCAAAAGATGATCACATGACCCCTGGATACTGAAACCATCATAACTACAAACTAGTTGCCAAGCATCCGAATTTTGATCACGTGACCACAGGGATGCTGCAGCAGTCATAAGTGTTAAAAATGGTTGTAAGTCAGTTTTTTCAATGTCGTCGTAACTTTGAATGATCACTAAATGAACTGCTGTAAGTAGAGGACTACCCGTACAGAGATAGCTGATGGTGACCTCATGGTTGAATTATTGTAATCTGTTATATATGTGCCTCCTCTTCAAAATTGTTTTGAAGCTCTAAATTACATTATCTCAATGCGTGTAAGAAGTGCTACTGTGTAAGCAGCTTGGCTGTAACTAAAGGTCTTAAATAACCATCTTCAAGTACCTTTTATAAGGTAGGACAAATAAAGTTTTAGGGCCACTTGGAATTTGATATCCTGTTATGGATGCTATCGTAAAATGGCTGTCACAGGGTTGTGACCATTTGAAAACTATGTAACCTAGCCCTCCCAGGATGTATTCTACTACCCTGTTGGTATCTTTGCTTCTTGTAATTCCACCTTTTATAGAGCTGTAAGACAGGACCTTTTTTGTAGAGGCCCATGGGAAATAAGCTTAGCTTTGTCAGGGTTAACTTTGGAAGTACTCTAATCCATTTATTCAGAACTAAAATATCCCTTCTGTTGGCAGGCTTTTTTTCAGAAACTGAAGCTTTAGACAGGTAATATTTAATGCAGTGGTTCTCAACTTTTTTAATGCCGTGACCCCCAACCGGTCGTAAGTCGAGGACTACTCAACCAGTCGTAAGTCGAGGACTACTCAACTGGTGCAGCACCGTTTGCAGAATGGGACTTTTGGCGGGCTCAGCAGAGCAGAGACAGCCTGGACAATTCCTATTGGCTTTTGAAAGCTAATAGAATTAGACTCTATTCAAGAGAGTCTATTCTATTGGCTTTCAAAAGCCAATAGAATAAAAGGGAGTAGCACAGCTAAGGAAAAGGGGAAAAAACAACTGCGTTGTTTGGCGACCCCCGAGAAATGGTCGTTTGACCCCAAATGGGGTCCCGACCCACAGGTTGAGAACCACTGATTTAATGCAATGTCATTTTGGAAAGAGTGTGTGCGTGCATATGTGTTTATGCATGAGAGAGAGAGAAATGTGCTGTAATGAATCTTCATTTTTATGTGATTGCTATGTGAAAGAAATTAGATCACTTTTGAGAGTTAATTTAAAATTAGTGGTTTGCAATAACTAATATAGGTCTGTCTGTTTTTCCGACAGACCTGTCTGATTGATTACACCTTGGCATTTTGACTGCTATGCTGCAGTTCTACTTTTTACAATTTCTTTTGCCTTGTAGCCCCCAACTAAGGGCGATAAGCAGGTTCAAGTCGCAACAGCGAAACATTTACAAATCCAAATTTCTTTTACTTTAACTCTTTGTCAGTAAAAGAAATTTATATGTGTGTGTGTGTGTGTATATATATATATATATGTATGTATGTACGTAGGTAGGTAGGTAGGTCTTTGGTTATT